AAAACTATCACAAAAGGAACAAAGACACTCTAAAGTAAAACAACAAATAGAAACTGACCCATTGATATGTGGTAGTTTAGTATGTGACAATGAAGCCATTTCAAATTGGTGAGAAATGAACATAATTTCAATAAATACCACTGGGACTACTGGCTAGCCCTTGGAAAAAAGAAACCTGAATCCTTCATAGGAAAATAACTTCCATATGGATCAAAGATTTAAAGTAAAGGAAGAGAAATAAGGAAAGAAGCTATAAAGTACCAGAAGGAAACTTGAGTGAATAAGTACACATAATCTTAAAGTAGGAAAATGTTTCTAAGCCGCATAAGAAATTCAGGATCCACAACATAAGGTTCATTAGTTCTGTTACATAATATTATGAAATGATGAGTCAAGATATTGGCATTTAAAATAAACCCAAAAATTAAGTAAAAACTGGAATATGTAAGAGAAAATTTATTATAGTACTTACATATAAAGAGTTTGGCATATTAATGAGACAAAGTTCGGCACTCCAACAGAAAAACAGGTGAAGAAAACACCAATAGAGAAAGGAGAAATAAAGGGTGTTGGAAAGCATTTAGAAAATTAGTCACTGTCACTAGTATAGCAAAGGGAAGGTCCTGCACATTGCTTTTCACCCATGCAATTAGCAGATGTTTATGTAACTATAGGGATTACAGAATATTTCATTGTTATTAGTGAGATTTCTTCTAGACAGCAGTATAGGGGTGTGAATATAATCTTAAAGTGGATTTTTTTGCCCCAACAACTTCACTTCTAATAATTTAACTAGAGGGATTAAATCTCTTGGTTAAATAAATACTATATGTGAGAATTTTTAGTTTATTTACACATTCTATAAATGCTCCTCATATGGAACAAACTTACTAAATTATACTATAAATTATAGGACATCAGGTTTCCAATAAAGTAGCAATCCAGATATGAATATAGTTACTGAGAAAGATGATTCTGTCATATTTTTTATTTGAAAGACCTAGGTTAAAATTAATAGATGGTCTACATAAAATCAGTGCTCTTTGACTAAGAGCAAAGACATTATAACAGGGCAAAAATAGTCTGGACAGCAACGTATGTAGCTAGATATCTATACACAGAAGATGAATGCAAATACAGACCATGCACCTTTCACAGAAATTAACATGGCCCAAAGACATAAACAAAAAATGCAAACTTTTAAGACTTCTAAGGATAAGACAGGGGAAAATTTAGATGGCCTTGCATTTAAAGTAGGATAACAAAGACGTGTTCCATGCAGAATTTATTACACTAGAATGTGTCTGCTTTTTGAAAAATAATGAATAGACAAGTTAACAGACTGGGAGAAAATACTTGCAAAAGACATCTAATAAAGGGCAATTATCTACAATATGTAAAAAAATCGTAAAATTCAACAATAAGAAATCAACCTGATTTAAAAATGAGCAGGTATAATATCAGGTATCTCCTCAAGAAAATATAGAGAGCACTAACAAGCATATGAAAAGATGCTCCATATTATAATTCATTAGAAACATGCAAAGTAAAGCAACAATGAGACGCCATCCCACACTACCCAAAAGGCCAGAACCCAGAACAACGCGACACTGAGTGCTTGGCGGAGAGGCGGAGCGATGTGCTCTCCTGGACGGCCAGTGGAGGAGCAAATTGCACAGATGCTTTAGAAGATGCCTTCACAGGTTTTGTTCTTGCTGATTTTTACAAAAGCAGACATACTCTCACTATCCATCCCAGCAGTCACACTCCTCGTGTGTACCCAGAGGAGCTGAAGGCATACTCACACAAAACCTGCACCCAGACGTTTACAGCTGTTTCATTCATAGTTGTCAAAGCATGAAAGTAACCAAGGTCTCCTTATCCTGTGGTGATGGTGTTTCTGAATATACTGTATTTTCTTTCTATTTATGTATTATTTAAGCATGTACCTTTTTAAAACATCAAATACTATGAAAAGTCATTAGCATGCATCATTTTTATATTTAGATAAACAATAAATCTATTTTTAATGTGAATAAAATAAAACATTATACATTCCCTCAATTTCATGTTATTTTGGCTATTGTGTTTTCAACTTGTCTTTCACATTTTTTCCTACAAACCTATCACTACTGCTTCTGCTATATTTTTATACCTATTATTCACAGTTTCAGTGTGGTCGGCAGGAATCTCTGTACAAAGTGAATACATTTATTCTAGGAAGTATTTCAGAGAAAGAAGTGTGGAAGAAAAGAAGTGATGGCTCCAGAATGTTCACAGAGAGTTACAGGAGACCGGTCTTGAAGTGACATCTGTAAAGGGGACATAATGTATACTTTGGTGGAAAGATTGGGTGTTGTTTCTGGAGAAAAGTGAGGTTTTTCCAAGCCCACTAGGTGTTGCCTTGAAACTTTTCATGTGCGTGTTAATCATCCAGTATCTGATAAAATGCAGATTTTGATCTCTTATAATCAAGCTCAGTCCTGAGCTCATCATTTTTCATAAGCCTCTAGGTGACATTAATGCTGGGAAGACCACACAGACTTTGCAAAGCAAGAATTCAGACAACATCTTTCTATCTAACAAGTAAAGAATTAAGCCAGCCATATTCTAATATGTGCTTTTATTAAAATTAGAAACATATTAAAATAAATTTTCAACTACCCCAGGTTTGTTTGTGTGCACTATTATCTATTTAGGGTAAATAAAGGAATAACAAGATTAGATTCTGTATTGTCTCATTATTAATTTTTTATTTGCACTATTTATCTATTTATTTTGAGACAAAGTCTCTCTATGAGTGCAGACTGGCCTTGCACTCACTTTTGTAGCCCAGGCTGGCCTCGAACTCACAGCGGCCCTCCTGCCTCACTCAGCCTCCTAAGTGCTAAGACCGTAGTCATGTGCCATCATGCCCAGTTGCTGCCTTATTTTTCTAAAAAGGTAGATATTTCAGTTCTTTCTTCCATAACCTAACATAAAATCCCACATCTGTTTTAACATTTTTCCATAAGGAAAAAAAAACTTTCTTTCTGTGTTTTAAATGCTTTTTGCTCTGGAACCATATTGCTTAATTCAACTTTGAATTGCACTGGAATTGGTGGGAAATCCTTTCTTATTTAAGATTTCTCACAAGGTGCTCTATGAGGGGCAAACTGAAGCACTAGTGGGTTTTTATGTTTAATTCTTTTTTATTAGTTCCTGCAGGACATATGATTACATTTATTTTGGAGAGTTGGCACATGTGTGTAAGTACATCCTAATTCTATTTTTCATCCCCGACTTGTCCCTTCCATCTCTGATCCTCCCAGCTCTTACTCATTTTCCCATTTGCAAAAGCTCCATTTTAATTTATTCTTTTAATTCTTGTTTTCCAATCCCTTTTCCTTTTGCTCTCTCTATCCATTGTTGCCACATTCACTTGAAAAAATCTTCCCTTTATCAAATTCTCTCTCTGTGTCTTTCTCTCTCTCTCTCTATATATATATGTGTGTGTGTGTGTGTGTGTGTGTGTGTGTGTGTGTGTGTGTGTATGCACATCTATGTTTCTCACTTTAAGAGAAACCGTATGATATTTAAGCTTCTGTGTCTGACTTATTTCACTTAGCATTGTGATCTCAAGTTGCAGATTTTACTCTTGTTGGCCTGTACTATTTGCAGGGCAGAAGGAGCAAGGTGGCAAGTTCTCTTTGAGAAAAAAGGTCTTAAAACTTGGATTCCAGCTTGTGCAAAATGCTGTGTCTTCTGCTTTGCATGAGCCTGCTACCTTAGGCAGTAAACACCGCCTAGTCCTAGTTTTCCACAGCAATAACAGTGGGAGGTTCAAGCCATTGATCCAAAAACCTTTTTTGTATGTGTGTGACTGCAATAAATTCATTTCTGAGTTGCAAACATTTTAAATGATTTTTATGCTTATAACTTGTATGTATCCTCTCCAATTCCAGGCTCTTTGGTATTCACTATTGGCTTTGTTAAAATGAATGGGAAGTTGAAAACCAAGGTTAACAGCAAGAGTTTGATTTGTTCAAGGGAGAGGGGAGGTTGTGAAGTACACACACACTCCTTTCTGCCTCACTTGGTTTGTGCGCCTTTCTCTGAGCTTGCTGTTGGAGCCCTCAGTGCTGTGGGGAGGCTAGCCGGCAGTCCCAGAGTGGAAGCTCTGCTCTCACTTTTGCCCATGTGCAGAGCATCTCATTTGCTTCGCCTTCCTGCCTTTTGTCACATGCACATTTTGCTGCTGGGTAAGCCACTGTGTTATGGTGCTCGGCCCTCCGTGTTCTCTTGACTATAAGCTCAGCTTTTTTTTTTTTAATCTTTAGAACTTGCTTAATTGAACTCAGTCCATATATATTCCACATGTTCAATTGCCCATCTCTTCTCTGGTTCTGACTGAAGTCCACTGGATAGGTATTCACAATTGTTTTCTTATTTGTATGTGTCTATGAAAGTTGCTGGTACTTGAAAAGAAGACAGAGTGATTTCATAAAAGGGACATTTATAAAAACAAGTTTGTTGATAAAGTGTCCCAATAGCTCGTATTTAATCTTGTCAGTAACATAAAGCTTTGCTAACCAAAAATATATCCTTTTTAAAGGCATCTCCATAGTAAATAACTTCTTTTTACAGGTAAACAATGACGTTTATTTGATATTGGATTCTAGATTGACCATTGGTTCATGGTTCTAAAAGTGTAGGCCTGGCCATGTGCACTTGATGATAAGTAGAGACCATGAAATGCCCCTGGGCGGTTCAGCAGAGCCTCAGGCACTTTGGTGGCATATTCATGGGTTCCCCACCAGCATATACTAGGGACTCTCTCAGCATTGTAGAATTAGTACCTGTGGCATTACCTATGGAAAAACATAACCTTGCATATACAATGTGTTATTTTTAATGTAGAAGAAGAAAATTATACTTCAAGTACATTGATTTGGGGATGCAAAACTTAAGCTATAAAAGAAAAAGGACTCAAATATGTTTTGAATAATTGTTTATTCTAGAGCATCTGGCAAACATAAACTTGGAAGTATGGAAGAACATTCATGTTAACAATGGCTACTTTCCAAAGAACAGTAAGGGACATATATTTAAAAAACAACAACAAAAGCACAAACCACAGTCGTCTGCCACAAAAGTAATGACTGTGGGAATCACAGAGGACGGTGATAATGAGCGGAAGGCTGGGCCTTGAAGACATGCCAGTGACATTAATTTAATGAGGACTCAATTATAAAAACAAAGATGACTTTCACTTCTATTTTTAATTGTATGTATGAAAAGTAAACCTTGGAAATATGAAAGAACCAAATAAAGTCACCAAATAAGAATAACTTAAACTCCTTTTCTGATCTTCGTTTTGGAGGAATAGAACAGAGACTCTTTTGGCAGGCAATAGATAAATATAAGCAAACCGCAAGCCCTTGATTTTGCCATAAGTGGCAAAATGCATGATGGAAACAAGTCTGAGAGAGTCTGAGTTGATAAACATGGAGGCAATTATTGTTCTTATTTATTGGCTTCTAAAGCACATCTTGCTTAATACAAGGTGCTGTCAACAAAACAGAAGATCTACTACAACCCCGCAATGGAGATAGTCTGAGAGGACAGAGCCAGGCAAAGCATGCTCAGCTCCTTCAGAAAAGAAAGCATTGTACTGGGAGTCGTGTGCATAAAAGTTTCACTAAATGAGGATGACAATTCTAAAATGAGTGCTACACTGTTTACCAGGACGGGAGCAACCTGCTGAACCTCAGTAAAGAACGTAGACTTGAGCACAAAGCACATCAGGATATTTAGAATCAAATTGATTATCATTCTTCTTCATTTGAAAAGTTTTTTCTGAGTGAAAGGGGAAAGAGGGAGAAGGTAGAAAGTGTTATAGGAGGGGCAGTGCCACAATAGTTAACTAAAACTTGTTAAACTGATTCCGAGCAACTCTGGGGACCTGTATCATATTTTTTACATGTTGAAATCAATCTAAAATTATGTCAATTTTTTCCCTCAACTGGCAGCCTTGTGTGGTTATGTTCATTTATGCCTAGTCTGAGTGAGCGCAAGCACAAGCCTAAAAGCTACAGAGAAAATGTGTTTTTCTCTAAGACATTTTTAAACTATTTATTTTATTTTACGTTATCATTATGGAAGATTATTTAAACAGATGCATGGCCTACTTTTTGAATATTCTATGTGGGACTAAAATTAGCAACTGAACCCTAGAATTTAAATCATTCCAAGCTTTAGAGCCAATTATATTAACCTTTGCACCAGTTTTCCTGCTGGTCTCAAGGGCTGGGCTGGGCAGGAGACGCCTAGCCCAGGGAAGAAGCGCACTGGCGGAGGATCTAGGCACAGCTGACCTTGCTCAAAGCTGGGGAGACAGTGCCTCAGTGCCACTACGTCTGCAACTGTTTGGTTTAGAGGTACCAAAAGACAACACGTTCTCAAACGCTAACTAAGTTGACTCAACCAAATAACATGTTCACTGGTCATTTGGAGAGATGAGTCTTGTGTCAGGCACATGGGTGTGGTCCAGGCAGGATGACTACTGGCTTTCAATTTCAGGAAGAGACCCACCTCCCAGGCCCTATCGAAAGGTCAGATGAAAGCTCGTGACTATATACCTAGATTTTTAAAAGCTACAAGTTAATTTTCAAAGGCAAAAATACCAATATAAACCTGAAAATGTTTTGAAAATAATATAATATTACTGTATATGTCTAGGGAAATAAAACTGCCTGCATTTAAAGCATTATCTTGTTCATTGCTAATGTGAACATTTAGTAACAAGCTCCATGCATGTTATGTCTAGACCTATATATAGTATATGAATTATTTAATAAAACATTTCAAAATGTGCCTCAGGTACTGTAGGCAACCCTGGTAAATACTATACTCCAGAACCACAACCTGAAACACAAAAGAAAAGCAAGAGACTCTCGATACTACAGAAAATGACTCTGTTATCCAAAATTCTGTTGCACGCATGCAAAACGAGAAGAATCTGACAGTTTAATTTTGCTTTCCCTTTCCTAGGTGCCTGCCTTCACGGCACAAAGCCATTTGCTTCAGCATGGGCCAGGGCCCAGCAGCACATTCTCACAACATTGCAGTGCGATCACCTGGTTTTCTGATTTTTGTTTCAAGACAGCATTTCTGTGTGTAGTCCAGGCCGGCCTCACACCCTAGAGCATGGATCTTAGTGCAGGGCCCTTCCTGCCAGGCCAAGACACGTCTCCACAGAGTTTATAATTTTGCAAGGGAAACAGATATATAAAGAGTAACTTATAGTAGTAGGCTAACTGGAGTGCTCTGAGAGGAACATAACAAAATACTCAACTTTTATGGGCCTCCTGTCTGCCAGTCTTAGAGGGGTTTATGTACATTATTTCATCTGAACCTCACAAGACAGTAAGTCAAGGTTACAAAATACAGCCTGCAGTACAGAAACTTTAAAATAGTTTGACCACACGTGTGTCAATTAGAGTTCAGATTTTTTATAGAAGTCTGCTGAATACAATGGTTTGTCAAATTTTATTTTATGATTTTGAAATGTCTTCTATAGAAAACACTGATATTTCTTTTATTATCTTAATGCTTTTGTCAGATTTTGACTTGTGAATAAAAAATTCAGCAGCATGTGTTTGTAATTGAAAGAGTTAAGATTAAAAATGTATATGAAAATGCTAAAAGCCAAGAATAGCCATGGACATATTGCAAGACAATGAAGTTGAAAGATTTACACTAGTGGATATTAAAACTGTTCATTAATCTATACATGTTAGAAAATATGGAGGGGCTGGGAATCTAACTCAGTGGCACAGTCCCTACCTGGAAAGCATGAGGTTCTGAGTTCAATTTCTGATCCTCTTCTATAAAAATAAATAAAATTTTAAAATATGATATTTGCAAAAAAGGAAGAATAAACAAAAACACTGTAGAGAATCCAAAAACAAGCCAACACCCATATGGACTTTGATTTATGACAAAATTGATATTACACAGAATTGGGGAAAGTGGCCTTCCCAAAATATGCTGATGAGTCAATTTGATATGTACATATGAAAAAAGTGAAATTTGATTCTCACCTCACATCATACCCAGCATCAGTTCTAGATGAATTGTAGCTCTCGCCATGAAAGACAAGATGTCAGTGTTTCTGAAAGACAGCATGAGAACAGAATTGTCTAACTGTAAGGATTTAATAAATGTTTCAAAAATGATATAAAAAGCACTAACTATAAAGAGATTTATAAGCTGGACTGCATGATAAATTTTGTTCATCAAAAGAAGTCATTAACAAAGTGAAAAGATAAGCTAGAATGTTTCAGGCATTTGCAACATGTACATCTTTTAAGGGTTCATATTCAGAATCTACAAGAACCTTACAAGTATGTCAGAAGAGACTACACAGCAGAGAATGGGCAAGACATGTAAGCAATGCTTCATAAAGAAGAACTTCTCAATTCTTGGAAGTTTGCTAATCTTTATTAGTCATTAGGGAAATGTAAATCAAAAGCACAGTGCGATACAATAGCGCATATATCAGAGTAGCTTTAATTTAAAATTGATTATTAATATCAAGTGTTGATATAGATCTGGAACTCTCTTACTATGGTGAAACAAATGTAAAGTTACTTAATCCTTTTGAAAACTTTATACGCCATATATAATAAAACCTAAAAAACTTATTCTGAGTCAATAATTTTGTTCTTTAGATAGTGTACATAATTGAATAAATTTGTGTCAAAACACAGGGACAAAAATGTTCATAGTAGCACTTAGGCTGAGACAGAAGAATCATTAGTTCGAGGTTAGTCTGGGCTACTTAGTAAGACTATTTCAAACATCCATCCCAATTGTTCATAGCAGTATTATTTGTAATACTCCAAAATTGGAAACAACGAAATTATTCATTAACAGTAGCATGGATAAATACGGTATGGTATATTGATAGAATGAAATGGTACTTAACAGTGAAAGGGAGTGAACTACATGCAACATCATGAGTAATACGTAAAGCATAATATTGTAGGGAAAAAGTCAGAAGCAACAAGCACATTTCACTTTGTAAAGTTCAAAACTGTAAAAACTGCTTTATTACACAGAAGTCAGTATTGTGGCTGCCATTGGATAAGGAGCAACAGGTAGGCTTCGAAGTTCCTGGCAATGTCTCTTTCTGCATATGTCCAGAAGGAACAAGGGTGTGTCCCGAGGTAGTGATGGAACAGAGAACAGAAAATGCGGTGGGGGAAAATATTTTTGAGAAGACACATAAAATAAGCCCTACAGAATAAAAGGCACAGAGATCGGAAAAGCCCTATGCTTTCGGCAAAAGTGAGTGACTTGCTTCACTTTCACACTAATAAAGGGTGGTTTTGTGATGTTCTAGTCGTCTTTCAAGACCCCATGACACAGAACTGTGATGGTCTGTGGCACTACGGAAGACTCAGAAATATGAGACGCCCTCTCTCCTGGTCTGACTCCAGTAGCCACTGTTACACTCTGTGTTTATGTGTTTGACATTTTGGGGGTTCAAGTTATAAGTAGGATCATGCAGTATCTTTCTTTCTGTGTCTGGCTTATTTCTTTAGTATAATTGTCTCAAAGTTTACCCATGTTTTCACAAATAGCAAACCTTTTTCAAAGGCTGAATAATATTCCTGTGTATATGTGTATGTCATATACATTCATAGTTCAGCTGTTGTGACTAATGCTGCATAAGCCTGGGGGAGGACAGACACCTCTACTAGGTCTCAATTTCTTTCCTTCAGATATATAACCAGAGGTAATCAAAAATGATGACCAGATCATACCATAGTTCTGTTTTTTTAATTTTTTGAGAAAAAAACTCTGCTGTCTTCAGTATTGACTACCAATTTATATTCAAGGGTTCCCTTTTCTCCACATTCCTGCAAACATTTGCTATTATGTGTACTTTGGATAATAATAGCGATCCTAACAGGTGTGAAGTGAAATAGATGGATTTGATGTGCGTTCCCTGATGGTTAGTTACGTGAAGCACGTTTTCATGTACCTGTAGGCATTCTTGTGTCTTCTTTGGAGAAATGTCTGTTCTCATCCTCTTAATTTTTTAAAAATATTTTTACTGTTAAGTTGTGAAGTGCCTGATAACTTTTGAAGATTATCTCTTTATCAGAGAAATGCTTGTACAGCACGCAGGCTGCCTTTTCACTTTGTTAAATGTTTCCTTTGCTATGTAGAAGATTTTTAGCTTGACATTTTTCTATTTGCTTGCTTTTGCTTCTCTGGAAAGTGAGTGTTTTTAGTGTGATACCAGAAGAATTGTCACCACTGCCAATGTTGATTTTCATTTATGTTTGGATTTTTTTTTTTCAGTTTTAGGTTCCTGTTTAAGTCTTTAGTCCATTTTGGCTTGTTTTTTGTGAACAGTGTATGACATTCTTTTGTATGTAGATACACAGTTTCCCTGGAGCACTGATTAAAGGGACCATCTCTCCTCATGGTGTCTCCACGGCCTTGTCAAATACTGTATTAGATGTCTGTGCTGAGATTTATTTCTTGGCTTTCTATTCTGTTCCATTGACAGTTACTTATTTTCATTATTATGAAATTTCAAGACTATGAAACAGGATACCTAAAAAGTTAAAACTACTAAAAATAGTATTAAACATATTTTTATCCAAAAGTTAAGAAAGCAGAGCAAGAATTAGAATGGCA